GCAAGCAGCCTGCCAAGACGAAGTCGCTCCCCGACTTCTTCAAGGTGGGGGTCAAGAAGTCCATCAGCAAGACCGGCACGCTGCCCTTCCAGAAGGGGGTCTCCCGGTTGTGCGAGTAGCCCGGCCACATGACGAGTCTAGTGCGTCCACACGCGCACCTGACTCGAGCTCCGAGTGTGGATCGGTACCTGAACGAGTACATGACCATGATGCTGCAGCTGTGTCTCGGCGCAGCTGCGCCCCAGGTTCTGCTTTGGCTGGACCTGCCCACGGGGAAGAAGGCCCGCTGAGCCCTCCATCCTCCTCTTCCTCTTCTACTCCTTCTCCTACGCTGAGTGCTCCCAGTCCGTCTTCGGCGACGCTGGGGACAGTTGCGGAGCACAGTGGCATTGACGTGAATGCTGGCCCTAGCCCGGCAATGGGTCTGAACGACCTTGGCCCCGACACCCTGGTCGTCGCCACGGCCAACGTCCGGACGCTGCGGCCTCAGGAAAGCGACGCTTCCATCGCCAAGGTGGCCGGCGTCTCTCTCTTAGGCAAGGTGTCGGTTCTTGAGGAGCAGTTTGAGAGCGCCGGCATCGACATCGTGGGTATTCAGGAGGGCCGTGCCCGCCGTAGTGACATTGCCAGCGGCACCCATTACACTCGCTATATTGGTGCTGCTGACGATGATGGCGACTATGGGTGCGAGATCTGGCTCCGCAAGGGGGCCAAATTCAAGCTGCAGGCTCACGAGGTGGTGTCCCCGAGGTTATGCTGGTTGGTTGCATCCCATCCTCGCGCTGGCCGCGTCCTCGTCGTGTCAGGGCACGCTCCACACAGTTTACGTCCTGCTGCGGAGCGCGACGGCTTCTGGGACCTGGTGCTCCAGAAGGTCGACATGCTCACCGCCAAGCACCGCCAGGCGCAGCGATTCGTGCTGCTCGATGCCAATGCTCGTTGTGCCGAGTCGCTCCCGCACATCGGCGCCCACGACGCTGGCGTTGAGAACGACAACGGTGCGGCGATGCTCGCATTCCTGGATCACTGCGGGCTCCGTGCTGACAATAGCTTCCATCCGTGCGGATACACGTGGAGGTCTGGCCACGGTAGGACTCATCGCATTGATTACGTATGCGCTGATGTCACCCGACCCCTTAGCGAAGTGCGAGCCTACATACCCCAAGACGTGACGCTTTCCCTCACCACTGGTGAGGACCATCGTTGCGTGGTTGCCACCTACACGCTGGACAAACTGCAGCGACAGCCTTCTGGGTCCAAAGCTTTCCGCTTGAACAAGTGGAAGCTTTCTGACGTTGGCTGCGTCGCGTCTGTCTGTGAGCAGCTTCGCTGGTACCAGCCCCCGCTGCAGGCCACAATAGACGAGAAGGTCACGCATTTCGTCGAGGCCGCGCAGCGGGCTGCCCGGCGAGGCTTGGGCCCCATGCGAGATTGCCCTCGGAAGACATGGATTCGTGGCCCGACCTGGGAGACGATCAAAGCGCTGAAGTTGTGCCGCTCTCTCGGCTTTCTCGCGGTGCAGCGTCGCAGTTGCGCTCGCCTCGCTCAGGCTTGGCATGCGTGGAAGGGCCTCTGCCGGCGCTGTTTTACACCTGGCGCCCCTGCCCCAGCACTTGGGTGGGGAGCGGTCGGCATCCAACCCCACGCTCGGAGGTGCTACTGGAGCTGGAACAAGTTGTGGGCCATCACGCAGAGGCTCGGCATGCAGCTCGGCTTCATCATCCACCGACACCTTTCGAGCGACAAGGTCGCATTCTTGGAGGCGCGTGCTGCCGAGGCTCAGCGCTGCGCCCACATGCGTGACTGGAGGGGGACGTTCGGCATTGCGAGGTCCTTCAGCGGCAAATCAGCGGCTGCGGTGCCCTCCCCCGCCCTCAACAAGAAGGGCGTTCTCACTTCCAGCGAGGAGGAACGACAGATGCGGTGGCTTGAGCACTTTCAGGACGTCTTCAAAGGAGCCCGCGTCACCGCTGCAGACCTCCAGGCGCTTCCGCATGACGCGCCGCTCCTGGGTGACCTGTCCATGACTGTGGATGACACGTGCGCCGCGTGGCACCGGCTCGGCGCCAACAAGGGTGTCGGGTGCGATGGGTTGCCCGCCGAGTTTTGGAAAGCGACCGCTGCCGTTACGGCGCCGGTTGCGACGATGCTGTACAATGAGGTGCTTCAGGCGGAGGTCTGGCCGGTGGCGTGGACTGGCGGCAGGCTCCAGGAGGTCTTTAAGCAGAAGGGCAGCCGTGCCAATTGCGACGATTACCGCGGCATTATTTTAGAAGATCATCTGGGCAAAGGGTTGAAGCAACATCTATCGCAGCATGTGTTTCCTCAGTATGCGGCTCACCAGCCTGACGCTCAACACGGGGCCGTGGGTGGCCGAAGCACTGATTTCGCGTCGCATTTGGTCGTCGAGATCTTGGCATACGCTGCCCGGACCTCCATGTGCGTGTTCATCATGTTTCTCGATCTCGTGAAAGCATTTGACCGCGTCATCCGTGAGATCACCTTGGGATGGCCGGCCGGAGTGTCCGATGGGGAGGCCTACCTGATGGGCCTCGGCCTAGGCCGTGACCAGGCGCAGTGGATTGCAGCATTCGTGTCCGTGCACGGCCCGCTCCTCGAGAAGTGGGGGGTCTCACCGAAAGTGATCCGCCTTCTGAAAAACATGCGCGTGCAGTCCTGGTTTAGCGTAGGCGACCTCGATACTGCCATCGCGGCGCGTTTGGGAGGAAGGCAGGGCTGTAAGTACGGCGCCTGTCTTTTCAATTCGACTTTCAGTGTGGCCCTCCAGATGATTCACGACCTCGTCGTGGACGCCGGCTTCGCTCTCCAGCTCCCGTGCGATAGTGCGCCTGTGTGGGCGAAATCCAGGCCTGCAGATGGCGCGCCCATGCAGGATGTGGTCGACGTCGCATTTGTCGACGACACGGTTTTAATGTTGCTGGCTGTGTCCGCCAAGGTGCTGGACCGATCAATCGATGGTATGTTGGGCTTTGTTCTTCGCTTTTACCGCGTGCTGAATTTAGAAATCAATTTTCAGCTAGGAAAAACCGAAGCATTTTTGAAGTATAGGGGGCATGGGGCTGTGAAGCACACCCGGGCCAGGCGGCGAGCGCCTGGAGGACCTCTGCGCATCCAGCTTCCCAGCACCGATGACGTTTTGCACGTTGTCCCCCTCTATAAACATCTAGGTTGCGAGCTTGCATTGTCGGGCTCGTTGATTCCTTTGGGGCAGAGTCGCCGCAAGAAGGCCCTGGCCGCGTACGCGCCTCTTGCGATGAAACTTTTTGGGTCCCAGCAGGTTGATTACAGCTTGAAGTGCTGGATGTTCACGACTCTTGTGATGTCCAGGTTGTTGTTTAACCTGCACATATTTGTACCCACTGCTCCATTTCTTTCTCTCCTCAACGACGTATATATGCGAGGCTACCGCAGGATGCTTGGGGCCCCTCGTTTTGGCCCCGGCGCCGGGAGCGACCTCAGCTTCCGCAGTGTGCACCGAATCCCTTCCATCGATTGTGTGCTGGCGCGTGCCAGGCTTACCTACCTAGGTCGCCTTGTCCGCGCTCGCCCTCCGTCGCTGTCAGCTGTACTCCGGCAGAGGCCAGAGCGCAACGGCATGCCGCAGCTTTCCGCGTGGCTCCAGCTGGTGATTCCGGACCAAAGGCGCCTCCACCAGAGCGTCGCCCTGTGTTCTAACCTGCCCGATCCCGCAGAGGATCCAGAGGCGTGGTGCAAGCTCATATGCGACGAGCCGCTCACATGGAAGCAATGTGTAGCCCTCCTCCACTTTGAGGATTCAATTTGTGACAAAGTTCTACACCAGCGTGTGGAACCCATCTGTCGACCCTTCGCCTGCTCGGACTGCTCGGTGGCGTTTGCCTCGGAGCGCCAGCTGGCCCAGCATAGGCGCATCAAGCACGGTGTGCGATGCGAGCAGCGTTTCTTCGCACCTGCGTCGGCTACGTGCATGGTGTGTGGCACGACCTTCGGCGCTCGCCTTGGTCTTATCGCCCATTTGTCCGATAAAAGGCGGACGAAGTGCTGGCGCGCCATGCTGCAGGAGCCTGCAAAGTACCCGAGGCTTAGCAGCAATGTATGTGCCGAGCTGGACGCGAAAGACCGGGCTGAGCGAACTGCTGCCCAGCGCCTCGGCCACTCCCACGTTCTTGCGAAAGGGGGCTGCACGAGACGCGACGGCACTGCGGTGGGGCGGCCTTCCGCGTAGCCACCGTTGTGTTGTAATCTTCCGAATTCGTTTGTGCTGTATTGTGACGTTTCGCGCAACCCTTGCTAAATATATATATATATATATATATATATATATATATGTAGCGCAGCCCGTGCGGCGTCGCCCCAGACGACCTCAGGTCGGCGACCAGAGTCCAGACATGAGAGTGAAGGCGAAGCCCGCAGCAATCATGGTTTCCAGCCGATCGCCGCTGCACGGCGAGCTTCACAACAGGACATGTGCAACAGACTGGAGGCTGGACGGATCGCTGAACTCGGCAACTGTAACGGCGAAACCGAACTCGGCGAAGCGGCCAGCAAACTGTACTGCACAACCCCAAGGGTGGGTGGGGGGGATTGGGAGACTTGGGCCGAAGTGCCGACATACAGTGACGTGCACCTCGAGAAATACACATGCTCACGCTTTGACTGTCTAAAGCCGGGAGCGTGCTACAGACACGCGGGGCGACTAGTGTGGGAATTCTCGCTACAGCAATTCTGATCTGGGCAATAGCGCAGGCCCGTGCGGTGTCGCCCCAGACGACCTCAGGTCGGCGACCAGGACTCCAGACATGAGAGTGAAGGCAAGGCGAAGCCCGTAGCAATCAGGTTTTCCAACCGATCGCCGCTGCACGGCGAGCTTCACAACAGAACATGTGCAACAGACTGGAGGCTGGACGGATCGCTGAACTCGGCAACTGAAAAGGCGAAACCGAACTCGGCGAAGCGGCCAGCAAACTGTATTGCACAACCCCCATATGCCATATGTGGTTCTAGGGACAGGGAGGGCGGGTATTGAGGATCTCACGGAGCTTCTGGTCGAGAAGAGCTGGCAGGGCGGCAGCGACACGAGCTCCCTCGCGCTGCTGACGTTCGGTCATCTTGTGAACCTGTCGTAGGAGCTTGCCTTCCTTCCAGTATCGGGCAACAGATCGATCGGACACCCAATGCCCTCGACGTTGAATCAACTCCAAATGTCCTCGCTTCTCCAAGAAATCAACTGAAGGACCACCGTGGCGAACAGTGTGTGGGCAAAGGCGTAGCGACTGCACAGACAGGGCCTTAGAGCCACGCCGGAAGAGGGTCTCGTAGGCGTGAAGGTCTAGGCCGGCGAAGGGGTAGTTCAGCTTCAGTCGCTTGCAGCGAACCAGGAGCTGCTCGATCACCTTGCGAATCCAGAGCCTCTCTGGACTCATGCTGCCCACGATCACGGTGTCGTCGAACTGAAGGTTCTTGGCCAGCTTGCGGTCGGGCCCGCTCGGAGCCATGATGACAGCCAGCTGGCTGTATCGGCGGTGGGCTCGAGCAGAGCCGGTGACGACGCGCTCCAGCGTCAGTCCCAAGGTGGCCGAAGGGCGCCCGTAGAGGTCGAACTGCGCGACGGCGCACGCCGCTGCCAGGACGCCCTCCAAGGTGCCGAGGCCGAGGAACCAGGTGGCCAGCAGCGCCAGCGCCTCCTACGGGCACGGGTCGCGGCTAGCCTCAGGCGCACGTTTGACCCAGCCGGCCAGCGCCTTGGTGGCGTGCAGGAAAGTGTCCTTTGGCCGAGGGAAGCGGTGGACGTGGGCGTGCCCGAAGAGCGCCTGACGTCCTTCTCACGGCTCGCAACCATCTAAGTACAAGTGGTCGAAGTAGGCTGAGAATGAAAGGTCGACCGCGCCTGCATCGGACGCGTCAGCGCAGCGTCCGGCGGAGGCGGCCCAGTCCAAAAAAGCGGCCTCGGAGTTGCGGTACTGGGTCGCAGCGGAGGCAGCTATAGCTGCCACGCGGCGCCGAGCGGCTCGACGTGCATCGCGACGCTGATCAGCACGGGAAGCACCTGCACGAGACGCTCTGGGGTCGATCTCGTCCACACCGAGGGCCGACCCAGCGCCGCTCGCCGCCCCAGCTGCCGCCGGAGTTTGCCCACGGCGAGCGAAAGGCTCGCGGGCAGCTCGGCGACCACGGTTCGGCGGGGACCGGCTTCTGGGTGGCGGCTGCCACGAGAGCCTCCCACCTGCCCAGGTCGGAGGCATGTGAGGCGCCAGGTACCGCAACACTCTTCAATACTTGAGCATCGGTTCTGCAAAGACGAGGAGGATAGAGGCCTGCCAGGGTAGTTTTCCAGGCCCAGACGCGTACATCCGTCTCCGACTCGACCTTGACCTTTCCCGAAAGATGCTCATGATAATGGTTCCCAGGACACAATCTGCTCAGCTGCTTCATTTCAGGAGTGTTGGCGGCAATGAGCGTAGGTTTAAAGTAATTGGCCCCACAGGCGCAGTTGTCATAACGGATGGAATCGGCCCCAGCTCTTTCGAGCTCCCGTCGAAGAGGTCCCCAACGAAACAATCCCGAAGATAGCGGATTTTCACGTCTCGGCCGCCTCTTGGCCCGGACAGGAGCGCTCTGGGAGCCCCGGAGCGGCCATGGGGGGCGCAGGTACCGGCCTGGCGGCCCCGATCCCCTTCCGCCGGCAGATAGATAGATAGATAGATAGATAGATAGATAGATAGATAGATAGATAGATAGATAGACAAATATATAGATAGATAGATAGATAGATAGATAGATAGATAGATAGATAGATAGATAGATAGATAGATAGATAGATACATACATATACACCGGCCACCGAGGGCCCGAGTATGTCCACATCCACCGCCTGCCGAGGCTCCGAAAACTGACCCCCCAGGCGGCGGTCATGTATCATTCCCGCCTCGGAGGTGCTGGCACGGAGCTCAGCGCGTTGGCTGAAACCGCGGCTCTGGCGCGATGCTCTCGCCACAGGCATGGGCCCAGACGCGCCGAGCCAGCACGCAGAGCAAAAACACGGACGCCTCGAGCACGGTGACTGCCCGTTGCGCTCTCTGAGCTCCGAGATGACGAACCACACCGCAATGCCGCCACCGCTCCACGTCGTGCTACGAGCCAGGGTCGATCTGCGAGGGCCCCGGGGCCCCGAACCCCAGCGAGACTGCCCGCTGTGGGGATCAAAACTTCGCCGCCGAGAGATCCGCGGGGGGGCTTCCGCGCGTGCGCCTATCGGGGGCGGCTGGGCGCGGCGCTGTACAGGGCCAGCGTGGCGCCCAGGCGCTGGCGGGCCGCCTCGGGCACGCCCCGCCCCGGCGGCGGGGCGAGCGCCAGCGACCTCAGAGGTGGCGACCTCCGACCCCCCCCCCCCGCCACCGGGCTGGACCCGAGCGCCGTGCTTCGTTCTGTGTGCGTTCTGTGTGTTCGTGCTGCTCTGCCTGATGTCCTGTGCCTCCCTGCCAAAACAAGCAAAACAAAACAAGACAATTTCCTGCGCCTTCCTGCCAAAACGGAACAAAACAGGAGAAGCCCAGCAGAACAGCGTTTGGGTCCAGCCCTGCCCCCACTACAACCAACGACTCTCCAGAATCGAGTGGGGAGCGGAGGGGGGGTTCGGCTCTCGCCACGCGTTCGACGAATTCCGCGCGGGCGCTCCGCCCTTCTGGGTCGCAGCCCCAATGCGATACTCTGCATCTGCTTCGCAGTCGAGTCTACGCGCCGCGTCTCTCTCTCTCTCTCTCTCTCTCTCTCTTGCGGCATTTCCCTCCCGAAGGGGTGCCCGTACTGCACTCTTCTGCCCGCGCGCTCTGCCAGAACACGCGGATCGGTGACGGCAGTGGTGCCCAAGCGCCGTGGCGGCTGGCGCATGGCGTCTGTCCTGTGCTGTACTGCACCCCAGACGCCCAGCAGAGAGGCGTGGATAGGAGGCCACATGCGAACCCTAACCCCCTACCCCCACGATTTCTGATGGGGAGGGTGGGGTTCACTTCGTTTGGGAGCTCCCGAGCGACATGAACCCCACCCTCCCCCTCAGAAATCGTGGGGGGTAGGGGGTAGGGTTCGCATGCGGCCCCCTAGTGGACCACCGCCACCGAGAACCCACCGAGGGGCGGCCCGAGCCTCCCTGGGCGCTGGCACGCCTGAGGGTCGTCCTGTGCTGGGGGACGCTCCGCGGTGCCACCGCCCAGGGGCCGGACCCCCCCCCCGACGGGTTCTCGGTGGCGGTGGTCCACGTTTCTCCCCCGAGCCCATCGAGCTCTCGACCCATTCTCTGGGACCAGTTTTGCATCCTGAGTCAGTGTTTCACGCTCCCGATGCCTGGCAAGGCTCCCAGAGGTCGAACATGATGCAAAACTTCTGTTGTGTTTTTTTCATTTCGAACCCTACCCCGCCCGCCCATCAGGCCCTGAAGGTCTGGACTACTTCCCTGTAGGGCCCGTGTTTCGTCTTGGCGGCCCCGACGCCCGGCGAGGGCCCCTGGAGGCCGAAAACAGCCCAAAGCCCGCCGCTCCAACATTTTTGGAGCGTCGGATCTCTTGGGCAAGACACAGCCTGGACGAGGATAAAATCGGGTGAGGATAAACCGAGAATCTCTGAGGTCCGGCGGCTCTGGAGGATGTCTCGGGCGCCACGGCCTTCTCAGAGTCGTCCAAAACTCTCTGAGAGCGTTCCCGAACGCTCTGGAACGGAGTTGTCCTCGTCCCAGCCCCGTCCGACGTGTCCCTGGTTGGCCCCAGGTGGCCCCACTTCAGTCTCAAGAGGTGCGCCTGTCTTCGCCCCCTGTCTGTCGCTTCCCCCGTATGCCCAACAGCGGATTGCCTACAGCTGGGAGTGACCCTGGGATGATGATGATGATGATGATGATGATGATGATGATGATGATGATGATGATGATGATGATGATGATGATGATGATGATGATGATGATGATGATGATGATGATGATGATGATGATGATGATGATAACGACGACGACGATGACGATGACGATGATGGATGATGACGATGACGATGATGGATGATGGATGATGGATGATGGATGATGGATGACGATGATGGTGATGATGATGATTATGGTGATGATGATGATGATGATGATGATGATGATGATGATGATGATGATGATGATGATGATGATGATGATGATGATGATGATGATGATGATGATGATGATGATGATGATGATGATGATGATGATGATGATGATGATGATGATGATGATGATGATGATGATGATGATGATGATGATGATGATGATGATGATGATGATGATGATGATGATGATGATGATGATGATGATGATGATGATGATGATGATGATGATGATGATGATGATGATGATGACGATGACGATGACGTTCGGCCCCCTCAGTCTGACTAGTATCGTTGGCGCGTGGCATACGAGCCGCGGCGGGGTCAGATCCGGGCGCGCAGGCCAGTGCCGTAGGGATCTCCGTGGGTCCGCACCGCAGGCCACTCCGGCGAAGGGCCATTCCTTAGACTCCCGACGCCATGGCTTGTTCACGACGTCGACCCCCAGACCCTGAGATCCTGGCGTTGCATTTTTTTCACAACGGGCATTTTCGCTCCATTTCGGCCCCCGGGACCCTCACAGATCGATCCGGCTCGAAAAATGTGGCAGAAAGATGGAGTCCGGGGCTCCAGTGACTTTTTGCGATGCTGCATTTTTTTTTGCAACGTCGGATCTCAGGGGAGGTCTCGACCCATTTCCCGGGACAGGCTTCTTCGTCCTGAGTGTCGTCCTGTGCTGGGTGACGCGCAGGCGTGCCACCGCCCAGGGTCTGAGCCCATCGAGTTGCCTGGATCCCAGACATCGGAGATGGACAGAACCCCCTTTTAATCAGTAAAACGTGGATTAGTGAAAACGACCTCGGGCCCAAACCTGACGGGCGCAGGCCTGGAAAATGGCGGCCGCGGCGCCCTCTCGAGAACCGAAAACGGACAATCACTAATCGACGGGTCAGGGTCCCAGAGATCCGATGTCGTGATTTTTTCAATGCGCGGTCCCCGGAAGTCTCGACCCATTCCGCAGGACTGGCTTTTCATCCTGAGTCGTATTTTGACGGTCCCGAGGCCCGGCGAGGGCCCCTAGGGGCCGAAATTCGCGAAAAACCTCCGTCTTGATTTTTCCCCATATCCTAAGATGGGGTTCTTGTTATTACTTGGACGCCTCCTACTCCTCCTCCTTCCTCCTCCTCTTTTCTCCTCCCCTCCTGTCGGACATACTCAGACTTGCTCATACACAGACTTACTCATACTCAGACTTACTCACACTCAGACATACTCATATACAGACTTACTCATACACAGACTTACTCATACACAGTATTAGTCATACCCAGACGTACACATACACAGACTTACTCATACACAGACTTACTCATACTCAGCACCCCTAAGGGGAGCCGCCAGGGGTGGTTGCACGGGCTCGTTCGCGGCCATTTTGTGGGGATGTCTCAGGCGGTTTGCCTGTTGCTGTCCCAACATCCTTCGCTTTCGGAGCAGATTTGGAGGATGTCTCGAGCGAGGCGCTCATTTCAGCACCCCTAAGGGGAGCCGCCAGGGGTGGTTGCACGGGCTCGTTCGCGGCCATTTTGTGGGGATGTCTCAGGCGGTTTGCCTGTTTCTGTGCCCAACATCCTTCGCTTTCGGAGCAGATTTGGAGGATGTCTCGAGCGAGGCGCTCATTTCAGCACCCCTAAGGGGAGCCGCCAGGGGTGGTTGCACGGGCTCGTTCGCGGCCATTTTGTGGGGATGTCTCAGGCGGTTTGCCTGTTTCTGTGCCCAACATCCTTCGCTTTCGGAGCAGATTTGGAGGATGTCTCGAGCGAGGCGCTCATTTTCACCCCCCAGGTGGGCCAGATTTTGAGGATGTCTCGATCGGTTTGCTAGTTTTGGTGGCCAGGCTCGTGGGCGCAGATTCTTCTCAGGATGCCACAGGAGGCTCCAACAGGCTCCAGGAGGCTCCAGGAGACCACATGAGGTCCCAGGAGGCATCAGGAGGCCACAGAAAGACTCAAGAGGCCACAGGATGTCCCAAGAGGCTCCAGGAGGCCCCAGGAAGCTCCAGAAGGCCTCAGGAAACCACAGGAGACCCCAGGAGACAACAGGAAGCGCCAGGAGGCCTCGGAAGGCAACAGGAGGCCCCGAGAGGCCCCAGGAGCAGGAGGCCTCAGAAGGCAACAGGAGTGGCTCCAATCCCATGTGTTTTACGTATGCTCCTATCGATTGGGCCTCACCTGGAGCACGATTCTTTGATGTTCTACGTATGTTTCTATAGATGGTCCTTCTCCTGTGTACACAATCCTAAATGTTTTACTCATGTTCCTATGTATTGGGCCTCTCCTGGGGCACGAGTCCTTGGTGTTTTACGCGTGTTCCTATAGATTGCCCTTCTCCTGTGGCTCTAATCCGCAATGTTTTATGTACGTCTGTTGCTATAGATTGCGCCTCCCCTGGGGCACGAAACCTTCCTAGGAGGTCCCAGGAGGTCCCAAGAGGCTCCTGGAGACCCCAGGAAGCCCCAGTAGGTTTCAGGAGGCCCCAGGAGGCCCCAGGCTCATGCACAGAGACGCGCTCGTACTACTGAGGCTCATTCACACTCCAATTCATTCGCAGTTAGATTGATGTCCAGACCGTCACAACTGAAGCCCGTTAATATTCGAAAGCTCTTGCGCCTAGACATTCACGGCGGACAGGTCCATGCGAGTAGATGCACATATGGGGAGCTCCACGCAGTGAATAATTTCAATGCGTTGGATCTCTGGGGTGGGATCTCTGTCCACCCCCGAAGACCCTCTCGCGGCTTGCCTACACGTGCGCCCTCGTCCGAGCCCCGTCCGCTTGGGGCCGCCGCTGAGAGGCCTGGCCCCCGCGGCGTGGCAGGCGGCGTGCAGCCGGGCCAGGGCCTCGCACACGTCCGCCGGGCGCGCGCCCGCGGCCAGGTCCGCGCAGCCGCCCATGAGCAGCACCACGTCCCACGGGCCCTCCTGGGAACTCGGCTGCCCCGATACGCAACACGCAACACGTCACGTGTTGGCACAGAGCTCAGCACGTAGACCGACAACGTGGGTGTGAAGCGGCACGTTCGCCAAAGCGTGGGCCAATGCGCTAAGCCAGCAGGTCACGTATTGACGCGGACGTTTTGAGATCGGAACGTGTTGCGTTTCAAAACGTGCGTATTGAGGCAGCTACGCCTTAGAAGAGTCGATTATCCTCAGCACGCGTGTTGGCCCCAAGGTGTGTCTGTCCATCGAGGGCCTTCGATACGACGCAGGCGATGTCATGGTTTACTGGTTGGGCTGAAGGGGGTAAACACACATTGGGGTAATTAACACACGTCCTGAGGATCATCGAACCTTGGAAGAAGAAGAATAATAAGAAGAAAAATAATAATAATAATAATAATCATAAGAATAAGAAGAAGACGAAACGCCATAGACATAAACTCGTGGCGCTCCGCGCGGAAACCTTGTTGGGTCTGATCCCTGGCGCGCGGAGCGCGCCAGGGGCGGCGCCGGAGGCGCCGCTGGGGGAGCCCAGCGCGGATCCAAGACATCCGCGCGCAGCTCCAAGAGTTTGTGCTTATGGCGTTATCCTTCTCGACTCCTCTCGGCGGCACGCGGCCCGGACCCCTCGAGCCATGAGAAGAACACGGGGGACAATTCCTGCTGTTTCGAGCCTTCCCTCAGATCCTGGCGTGGCAATTTTCTCGCAACGGGCGGGACCCTCGCAGGTCGATTCGGCTCGAACAAGGACCAGATCGATGGGATCCGGGGCTCTGGTCGGGATTTGTCGCTGTGTTTTTCCCAACCATCCTGTGGTGTTGGGTCCTCGTTTTGAAAAGACGGTGCCCCGCGTCTCCTCCCGCTGCCCCCTCCTCCTCCCCCTCCTCCCTCCTCCCTGCGCTTCACCCACCCAGTACAGCGCTTCGTGGCCCCATAGGGAGCTCCACCGAAGGCCCCAGTGGCAGGGTTCGCATGGCGGCCCCGCGTTTTGGCGCTCCCCTCACACGGTTCGTAGCCCCATAGGGAGCTCCACCGAAAGGCCCCGGTGGCAGGGTTCGCATGGCGGCCCCGCACCATTTTGGCGCACCCCTCACACGGTTCGTGGCCCCATAGGGAGTTCCACCGAACGCCCCAGTGGCAGGGTTCACATGGCGGCCCCGCGCCATTTTGGCGCACCACGGTTCGTGGCCCCATAGGGAGCTCCACCGAAGGCCCCAGTGGCAGGGTTCGCATGGCGGCCCCGCGCCATTTTGGCGCACCCCTCGCACGGTTTGTGGCCCCATAAAAGGGGCTCCACCGAAGGCCCCAATGGCAGGGTTCGCATGGCGGCCCCGCGCCAGTTTGGTGCACCCCTCACACGGTTCGTGGCCCCATAGGGAGCTCCACCGAAAGGCCCCAGTGGCAGCGTTCGCATGGCGGCACACCCCTCACGAGGATCGTGGCCCCATAGGAGCGCCAGCGAAGGCCCCAGTGGCAGCGTTCGCATCGCGGCCCCGCCCCATTGCGGCACACCCCTCACGAGGATCGTGGCCCCATAGGAGCGCCAGCGAAGGCCCCAGTGGCAGCGTTCGCATCGCGGCCCCGCCCCATTGCGGCACACCCCTCACACGGTTCGTGGCCCCGTAGGGAGCTCCACCGAAGGCGCCAGTGGCAGCGTTCGCACGGCGGCTCCGCCCCATTTCGGCACACCCCTTACGAGGATCGTGGCCCCATAGGGAGTTCCACCGTAAGCCCAACTGGCAGGGTTCGCATGGCGGCCCCGCACTATTTTGGCGCACCCCTCACGCGGTTCGTGGCCCCATAGGGAGCTCCACCGAACGCCCCAGTGGCAGGGTTCGCATGGCGGCCCCGCGCCAGTTTGGTGCACCCCTCACGCGGTTCGTGGCCCCAGGAGGAATTCCCCTTGCTTCGTCCCACCTGCCCTGCGGTCTTCACACCTGCGTATGGCTGGGTCCTTCGCCAGGATAATTTGTTGTGTTTGTGTGTGTGTGTGTGTGCGTGTGTGCGTGTGTGCGTGTGTGCGTGTGTGCGTGTGTGCGTGTGTGCGTGTGTGCGTGTGTGCGTGTGCGTGTGCGTGTGCGTGTGCGTGTGTGTTCTCGATGCTGACGAATGCCCCTCCCCACTGGAAGCGGACTGGCCCCGCGGCGACTTGGGCTCGGGCCGGGGTGGGTTTCGCGGGTCGTCTGCGCGAGGGGTCGGTGGCCCTTTGCCGGGGGCGGCCTCTGGGGTGCGCGGCGTTCGGGGGGGCGGCGACCAGGGGGGAAAGGCGCAGGGCCAAAAATAGCTTGGCGAAGGACCCAACCATATGCAGTTGTGAATACCGCAATTGTGAATACCATCTTCGCCCGCGCTCCCTATGTGGCCACGGCTTCCCGCCGGAGCCCGACATGCTCAGGGACACGTTCGTGGCCGTCTTCGCGGGTCCTTCGCCTGGATCATTTTTTTGCAGCGTCGGAGCTCAGGGTTTCGGGGCGACGACGACAAGGACGGCGTCCCTCCCACCGAGGAGCAGAAGCAGGAGAGGGCCTTGAGAGCCATGAAGGAGGAGGTGGCGTTGCACGTCGGATAATTTTTTTGCAGCGTCGGATCTCAGGGTTTCGGGGCCCTTCCCGGGCCCCAGGCGTGGAGCCTCGCAGACCGGCCAGGTCCCGACGCACCGCGGCGGCGAGGAGCGCGCGAGGGAGGGGGGCGGGGGAGCGAGCGAGGAGCGGGGGAGGAGGAGGAGGAGGAGGAGGAGGAGGAGGAGGAGGAGGAGGAGGAGGAGGAGGAGGAGGAGGAGGAGGAGGAGGAGGAGGAGGAGGAGGAGGAGGAGGAGGAGGAGGAGGAGGAGGACGAGGAGGAGGAGGAGGAGGAGGAGGAGGAGGAGGAGGAGGACGAGGGGAGTGGCTCGAGACCTCTGGGGGCCGACGCCGGTGCCCATACCGCCCTCCTCTCGGCGGCACGCGGAGGAGGAAAAAACCGGTGCCCATACCGCTGCCCTTGGCCCGTTGTCTCCTTTGTCGGCCTCCTGGGAGACCCTCGTCGCCGCCACTGGATTCGCCTCGACATGCTGGTCAGAGCGCGCCCCGGGAGAGGTCCAGAGAGCGACGGTGTCGGTACCCTTGGGTCTCCCCAGGGACGCGACCCAGACCCCGAAGAGACTGCGACGGGAGGTCTTCAGCAGCTGTCTTCGGCCCCTGGGGGCCCTCACTAGGCCCCAGGGCCGTCAAACAACGACTCGCCATGAGATCCGACGTTGCGAAAAAATTGAAACATTGCCAAAAATCACGACCGGAAACCTGGACTCCATCTTTATGCGTAATTTCGCGAGCCAAATCGATATATGAGGGTACCCTCACAGATCGAAATTCCCGCCCGCGGATCTTGGCGATGCGAATTGATCGCAGCGGGCGTTTTCGCCTGGACGTCCCGGAGCCCGAACCCCGGCGAGAACGCCCGCTGTGAAAAAACATTGCAATGCCAAGATCTGAGGGCGGGATGCGAAGCCAGTCCCGGGGAATGGGTCGAGACAAATCATGGAGGTCGACGCTGTGAACAAGCCATGACGCCAGATGTCTGGGATTCAGGCTGCTCGATGGGCTGGGGGGAGAAACGTGGACCACCGCCACCGAGAACCCGTCGGGGGGGGGTCTGGCCCCTGGGCGGTGGCACGCCGGAGCGTCCCCCAGCACAGGACGACCCTCAGGCGTGCCAGCGCCCAGGGAGGCTCGGGCCGCCCCTCGGTGGGTTCTCGGTGGCGGTGGTCCACGTCTCGCCTCTCTGATGGGCGTCGGGAGCGCAGTACACTGCAGCACAACACGGGACGACGCTCAGGACGAAGAAGCCGGTCCCGGGAGATGGGTCGAGACCTCTGGGGGGTCGACGACACGGGACGACGCTCAGGACGAAGACGCCGGTCCCGGGAGATGGGTCGAGACCTCTGGGGTCTGGGGGGTCGACGTCGTGATTGAATCATGACGCCGGGCGTCTGGGAACTGGGAAGGCTGGCCCTGGTCGAAGGCGGCCTCTCGCGTGCGCGGCCTGCCGCTGGTCGCTGCGCGCGTGGCGTGCTGACGGCTTGTAAGGCGCCCCCCCGAGGCTGACGGGGAAGGGGGGGGGGTGCTAGGCGCCGGGGGGCACGCCCGAGCGTCACGATGTCTGGGAAGACTGGTTTCTGGCGCTCGCGGCCTGCCAGAGATCGCCGCACGCGTGGCGTGCGACGGCTCAAGGCGCCCCCTCGAGCTGAGGGGAAACGAAAGGGGGCTAGGCGCAAGGGGGGGTACATCGACCTCGAACGGCCGATACATCGCCAGTGTTGTTATCGTCGACACATCGTCGATGCAGACCGCCCCACGTATCGCCTACACAGTCGACACCTCGCCCCTGCCATCAACGATGCATCGCCGATGTATTAACCATTCCAGGTCGATGCATGCCCCCCCAGACATGCGGCCGCCCAAAAAGTTTCGATGCGTGGGCCCTGGGCGGTCTCTCGTGCTGCGCTGGTTTCTGACGGCCCCGAGGCCCGGCGAGGGCCCCGAGGCCGAAATCGGCCAAAAAACAACCGAATTGGAGCGTCGGGTCTCTGGTTCTGGGGAGAAGAAATAAGAGGAGGAGGAGGAGGAGGAGGAGGAGGAGGAGGAGGAGGAGGAGGAGGAGGAGGAGGAGGAGGATAGATCTCATTCCCAACCATCCTGTGGTGTTGGGTCCTCGTTTTGAAGAGACGGTCCCCCGCGTTCCTCCTCTTCCTCCCTCCTCCTCCTCCTCCTCCTCTCCTCCTCCTCCTCCCCCTCCTCCTCCCTGCGTTTCACCCACCCAGTACAGCGCTTCGTGGCCCCATAGGGAGCTCCACCGAAGGCCCCAGTGGCAGCGTTCGCGTGGCGGCCCCGCCCCATTTTGAAACACCCCTCACGAGGATCGCGGCCCCATCGGGAGCTCCACCGAAGGCCCCAGTGGCAGGGTTCGCATGGCGGCCCCGCCCCATTTCGGCACGCCCCTCACGAGGATCGTGGCCCCATTGGGAGCTCCGCCGAAGGCCCCAATGGCAGCGTTCGCATGGTGGCCCCGCGCCATTTTGGCGCACCCCTCACGAGGATCGTGGCCCCATAGGGAGCCCCACCGACGGCCCCAGTGGCAGCGTTCGCATGGCGGCCCCGCCCGATTTTGGCGCACCCCTCACGCGGCTCGTGGCCCCATAGGGAGCTCCACCGAAGGCCCCAGTGGCAGGGTTCGCACGGCGGCCTCGGGCCATGTCGGCACACCTCTCACGAGGATCGTGGCCCCATAGGGAGCTCCACCGAAGGCCCCAGTGGCAGCGTTCGCATGGCGGCCCCGCCCCATTTTGAAACACCCCTCGCACGGTTCGCGGCCCCATAGGGAGCTCCACCGAAGGCGCCAGTGGCAGCGTTCGCATGGCGGCCCCGCCCCATTTCAGCACACCCCTTACGAGGATCGTGGCCCCGTAGGGAGCTCCACCGAAGGCGCCAGTGGCAGCGCTCGCACGGCGGCCCCGCCCTATTTCGGCACACCCCTCACGAGGATCGTGGCCCCATAGGGAGATCCACCGAAGGCCCCAGTGGCAGCGTTCGCACGGCGGCCCCGCCCCATTTTGAAACACCCCTCACGAGGATCGTGGCCCCATCGGGAGCTCCACCGAAGGCCCCAGTGACAGCGTTCGCATGGCGGCCCGCCCCATTTCGGCACACCCCTCACGAGGATCGTGGCCCCATAAGGGAGCTCCACCGAATGCGCCAGTGGCAGCGTTCGCATGGCGGCCTCGGGCCATTTCGGCTCACGTGGATCGTGGCCCTATAGTTGTGCTGCTTCAACAACCGCGCCTGGGCGTCGTACTCCGCCTTGTCGACGTGCAACGCCACCTCCTCCTTCATGGCTCTCAAGGCCCTCTCCTGCTTCTGCTCCTCGGTGGGAGGGACGCCGTCCTTGTCGTCGTCGGCGCCCGCGAAGACGGCCACGAACGTGTCCCTGAGCATGTCGGGCTCCGGCGGGAAGCCGTGGCCACATAGGGAGCGCGGGCGAAGATGGTATTCACAATTGCGGTATTCACAACTGCATATGGTTGGGTCCTTCGCCAAGCTATTTTTGGCCCTGCGCCTTTCCCCCCTGGTCGCTGCCCCCCCGAACGCCGCGCACCCCAGAGGCCGCCCCCGGCAAAGGGCCACCGACCCCTCGCGCAGACGACCCGCGAAACCCACCCCGGCCCGAGCCCAAGTCGCCGCGGGGCCAGTCCGCTTCCAGTGGGGAGGGGCATTCGTCAGCATCGAGAACACACACACACACACACACACACACACACACACACACACACACACGCACACGCACACGCACACGCACACACGCACACACGCACACACGCACACACGCACACACGCACACACGCACACACACACACACACACACACACACACACACACACACACACACACACACACACAAACACAACAAATTATCCTGGCGAAGGACCCAACCATACGCAAGTGTGAAAACCGCAAGGCAGGTGGGACGAAGCAAGGGGAATTCCTCATAGGGCCACGAATCGTGTGAGGGGTGCACCAAACTGGCGCGGGGCCGCCATGCGAACCCTGCCACTGGGGCGTTCGGTGGAGCTCCCTATGGGGCCACGAACCGCGTGAGGGGTGCACAAAAAATTGTGCGGGGCCGCCGTGCGAACCCTGCCACTGGGGCCTTCGGTGGAGCTCCTTATGGGGCCACGAACCGTGTGAGGGGTGCACCAAACTTGAGCGGGGCCGCCATGCGACATGCGAACCCTGCCACTGGGGCGTTCGGTGGAACTCCCTATGGGGCCACGAACCGTGTGAGGGTTGCCCCAAACTGGTACGGGGCCGCCATGCGAACCCTGCCACTGGCGCTTTCGGTGGATCTCCCTATGGGGCCACGAACCGTGTGAGGGGTGCACCAAACTGACGCGGGGCCGCCATGCGAACCCTGCCTCTGGGGCCTTCGGTGGAGCCCCCTCTGGGGCCACGAACCGTGCGAGGGGTGCGCCAAAATGGCGCGGGGCCGCCATGCGAACCCTGACGCTGGAGCCTTCGGTGGAGCTCCCTATGGGGCCACGAACCGTGTGAGGGGTGCACCAAACTTGCGCGGGGCCGCCATGCGAACCCTGCCACTGGGGCCTTCGGTGGAACTCCTTATGGGGCCACGAACCGTGTGAGGGGTGCGCCAAAATGGTGCGGGGCCGCCATGCGAACCCTGCCTCGGGGGCCTTCGGTGGAGCTCCCTATGGGGCCACGACCCGTGTGAGGGGTGCACCAAACTGGCGCGGGGCCGCCATGCGAACCTTGTCGCTGGGGCGTTCGGTGGAGCCCCTGATGGGGCCAAAAACCGTGCGAGGGGTGCGCCAAAATTGCGCGGGGCCGCCACGCGAACCCTGCCACTGTGGCCTTTCGGTGGAGCTCCCTATGGGGCCACGAACCGTGTGAGGGGTGCACCAAACTGGCGCGGGGCCGCCATGCAAACCCTGCCACTGTGGCCTTCGGTAGAGCTCCGTATGGGCCACGAACCGTGAGGGGTGCGCCAAAATGGCGCGGGGCCGCCATGCGAACCTTGTCGCTGGGGCGCTCGGTGAAACTCCCTATGGGGCCACGAGCCGTGTGAGGGGTGCGCCAAAATGGTGCGGGGCCGCCATGCGAACCCTGCCACTGTGGCCTCTCGGTGGAGCTCCCTATGGGGCTACGAACCGTGTGAGGGGAGTGCCAAAACGCGGGGCCGCCATGCGAACCCTGCCACTGGGGCCTTCGGTGGAGCACCCTATGGGGCCACGAAGCGTTGTATTGGGTGGGTGAAACGCAGGGAGGAGGGAGGAGGGGGAAGAGGAGGGGGCAGCGGGAGGAGACGCGGGGCACCGTCTCTTCAAAACGAGGACCGAACACCACAGGATGGTTGGGAATGAAACCCGCACTCCCCCCGACCCGAGATCCGGGAGGGTGACTCCGGGACCTTCGGGTTGGGCGGGGGCGGTGTGGCGAGGCGTGGCGCGCGCCGCTCCTCCGCCAGCACGCGGCGGAGGCCTGTCCTCACCGCCCGGCCGCCGCCGCGGCGGCCCAGGTCCGCCACCACGTTCTCGGCGGTGCGGCCCGCGTCGCCGCGCACCGCGACCTCCGAGCACCGTGGAACCGAGGCCCCCAGGCAGGAGCGACCTTCAGGCAAGAGTGGCCCTGGGCAAGAGTGACTTCGGGCGAGAGTGGCCCTGGGCACGAGTGACCTGAGGCAAGAGTGACCCTAGGCAGGAGTGACCCTAGGCAGGAGTGACCTTTAGGCCAAAATGACCCTAGGCAAGGGGCAAGAGTGACCCTGGGCAAGAGTGACCTTAGGCAAGACTGACCCTGGGCCAGAGTGACCCCAGGCAGGAGTGACCCGTAGTGCGCGGCCAAGGGGAGGGGAGCCCTTCGGGGACACCACCAGGCGCGCAAGCCGCTGCTGTCACCTCTGTCCCCACTGGCATGGCCTGGGACACACCGGCCGATGTCCTCCAGGGACACATCCTCAACACCGTGGCCCAATGGGGATGGGAATCGGTTGAACGACACAGTCATCGTGCTACCATGCGGAACGCCCAACAAAGAACGGAGGGGTCTTCCTTGCCACGGCGAGCCTCGGCCACGAAGAGGCCCCCCGACCTGGAGAGCCAAGGCACGGCCCGGACACCCGAGCCCCTCCTGAGCCCTTGACGTGGTCCTCACGACTAGCGTCACTGACTGCACCGAACCTCGCAGTCGGCCCCGAGCTCCGCCAGCGCCCCCGCGAGCGCCGCCGCCGCAGCGGCGCCCGCTTCCGCGGCAAAGCCGTCCCCGCAGCACAGGAGCCGCCGCCGGGGCGGCCCGACCATCGGCGCGCTGCTGCGCGCCGGCGCGCGCGCGCGGCCTCCCCGGACGTCCAGCGCCTCCTCCCCTGGCCCTGCAGCCCCAGCTCCCCTCGCCCCGGACCCTGCTTCCAGCGTCTCCTCCCCTGGCCCTGCAGCCCAGCTCCCCTCGCCCCGGAGCTTGTCTCTTGGTCGTCGCCTGGCCCTGGGCCCAGCCCCCCCCCCACCGCCTGGTCCCAGCGCCAGCCCGCCTCGTCGTCGGCCCCCCGGTCCGGGCCCCGGCGACGTCGCCCCGGGCCCAGCGACCCCGACCCTCACGGTCGGGGACTTTTGCTCGACGCCGTGCCAAGCGGGTATAGCGTGTCGCTCGGCTCCGCCGCAGCATGGGGATGCGAAAAACTGGGGACGCTGGCGCTGGGGGTCCGGGGAGCGGATAGCGTGTCGCGCCGAAGCGTCGTGGGCCAGCACCAGAGGCGCGACGCGCTACAGTCGGACCTAGGCCAGAAGAACGTCCTTCAAGAACACGAGACCCTCCGTGGGCCCAAACTGAAGAACATCCTGGGGTACCCTCCCCAGGACGCACATGAACATCCGACCAACACGAAAGACACCTGGGCATCCTCCCCGAACCGACTCCGATCTTAGACTCTCAGACCTCGGTCCGAATGTACTGGTTGCTCTAGTCAGCCTTGACCAAAAGGGGGAGGCAGAGGAGGGATGAGGAGGAAAGAAAACAGATGGGAAGAAACGGACCTCCCTCGATGTTTCCTCTCCGCCTCCTGCCCTCCCGGGTACATACCATGGTCCGACTGTACTTGCCCGTGGCCAGCTCCTCCTCCCGCGCCGCCTCTGGGCGCCCCGCCGAGGCCCGGCGCAGGGACCTCTCAGAGGCCGGACGCGCGGCGAAGAGCCTCCAGCCTGATCTTCTCTCAAGACGTCGGACGCCTGGGAAGAGGGGCAAGACGAAGCCAGGGCGAGGACAACGTCGGCTACGGACAAATCGAGCATCTCTGAGATCTGGCGGCTCTGGGGGATGTCTCGGGCGCCGCGGCCTTCTCAGAGCCTTCCAGAGCGCTCTGAGGGCGTTCCGGAACGCTCTGGAACGGATTTTTACCCTCGTCCCAGCCCCGTCCGACGTGCCCCTGGTTGGGCCCCAGGGGGCCCCACTTAAGGCTCAAGAGGTGCGCCTGTCTTCGCCCCCTGCCTGTCGCTTCCCCAGTACGCGGATCGCCTACACCTGGGAGTGACCCTGGGCAGGACTTACTAGTACCGTTGGTGCGCTCTGGATCCGATCTGTCCTCGTCCCAGCCCTGGACTGTTTCCCCCGGGGCTGCAGGCGACCCGAGGAGGGGAGGAGGAGGAGGAGGAGGAGGAGGAGGAGGAGGAGGAGGAGGAGGAGGGCGGGCCGCCTAAGCCCTTCGGAGAAACCCTCCACCCAGCCCCGCCCGCAGGGGGCTCCCCCGCCCGTGGGCCGCCGGCCGCTGGGCACGGCTCGCTGCGCGCCGCGCGGCGCGCCGCAGGGCGCGCCGCCGCGCTGCTCCCTGCCCGGCGGGCGGGGCCTCGGGGGAGGGTCAGAAGCCAGGCGAAGGCTGGCAAACACGCGGCCTGCTAAAGCGGACCTCCGGGGCTTGTGGGGCTTGTTTGTCCTTTCCGGGAAGCGGAAGCGCGCTCACGATCTAGAACCCGGAGTTTTATTCCGGGAGTCTGTTTGCTGTCTTCCGGGAAGCCCGTTTTAGCAGCCACGGACTTGCCAGCCCTCGCCCAGCTTCGGAAAGGAGGGGCACAGGCTCAAGTCGGGCGTGTCCTCCTACAGGCGGACTTGGGACGAACCATAAAGAAGCAGTCAAACAATACCCCCCAAAAAAATAACCAAAAATTCGCCCCAAAACTATTGCGTGCCTATTTCTGCATGTTCCTCCTGTAGTGGGACAGGCCCGGCTTCAGCCCGTGCATCGGGCGGCCCGCAGAGGCCAGGTCGGGGACGCCGACGCTGTGGCTCTGCCCTCTCGGCCCCTGGCCGCGGGCGCCATGGGCCCCTTCGCAGACAGCCGGAGCCGCACGCCTCGGCTTGCCGCTCCGGAGGGCCCGCGGGGGCCGCGGAGAGCGGAGAGCAGCCGCAACTGCCGTGCGCCGTCTTCGGCCTCCGTGGGCCCCACACGGGGCCCCAGGGCGGTCCGAGAGCGGCTCGAGATGCAGGGCCAGCCCCGGCGAGAGGGTCGGGACCCCCGGGGCGCCAGGCTCTGCAACTTTCAGGGCGCCTGCTCATCCTTCCTCTCAAACCTTCTCCTCCTGACTCGTCCTCGTGACTCGTCCTCCTGGCTCCTCCTCCTCCTCCTCCTCCTCCTCCTCCTCCTCCTCCTCCTCCTCCTCCTCCTCCTCATCGTTCACTTCCTCTCATCTCACTACCCTCCTTCTCCTGATTCATCCTCCTGGCTCCTCCTCCTCCTCCTCCTCCTCCTCCTTCTCCTTCTCCTCATCCTTTGCCTCGTCCACCTCCACCTCCTCCTCATCTCTCCTCACTCCTCTGTCCTCTCTCTCTCTCTCGCTCTCTCTCGCTCTCCCTCTCTCTCTCCTGACGCGTGCTCCTGGCTCCTCCCCATCCTCGTCCACCTCCTCCTCCTGAACCTCCTCCTGCTGGTAGAAGGCCAGGGGAACAGGCTTCGACCCAGGCCGCGAGAGGGCGCGAGAGCGTGGCGGGGAAGCGGAGGCTCCTGGCCGCAGCCCAAGGAGCACGGCACCATGCGCTGCTGGTACCTCCCGCGCCCCGCTGCCGTCCGACCCCCGCGCAGCGTCGTCGTCGTCGTCGTCGTCGTCGTCGTCTTTGTCTTTGTCTTTGTCGTCGTCTGTGTCGTCTTTGTCGTCTTTGTCGTCATCGTCGTCGTCGTCGTCGTCTTTGTCGCAGTCTTTGTCGCCGTCTTTGTCGCAGTCTTTGTCGTCGCCTTTGTCGTCGTCATTTTTGTCGTCTTTGTCGTCTTTGTCGTCGTCTTGTCGCCGTCGTCGCAGTCATCGTCTTTGTCGTAGTCTTTGTGGCCGTCTTTATCGTCGTCTTTGTCGTCGTCTGTGTCGTCTCAGTCGTCTTTGTCGTCGTCGACGTCGTCGTTGTTGTCGTCCAGCGAGTGGCGGCGCGGCCGCGGCGAACCCTCGGAAAACGTGCCGGGCAGGCAGGAGAAGGCGGGCAAATGG